TTTCTATTCTATCTTCTTGTTTTCTTTTTATTTATTAAAAAAATAATAACTTGACCCTCTAACACTAGCGTTTTCTATTCTTTTTCTGTTCCATCTTCTTGTTCTTTTTATTTATTATTAAAAAAAATAATAACTTGACCCTCTAACACTAGCGTTTTCTATTCTTTTTCTGTTCCATCTTCTTGTTCTTTTTATTTATTATTTAAAAAAATAATAACTTGACCCTCTAACACTAGCGTGCTCTATTCTTTTTCTGTTCCATCTTCTTGTTCTTTTTATTTATTATTAAAAAAAATAATAACTTCACCCTCTAACACTAGCGTGCTCTATTCTTTTTCTATTCTATCTACTTTTCATTCTTTTTATGTGTTATAAAAAACAACTTGTTAAGTGTACTGCATTAGATTAACTGACACTTGTCACAACACTTACACAGTATTGCTAGTTTGATGTTTGTTTGCTTCTATTGTCTTCATTTGTAAGTCGCTTTGGATAAAAGCTTCTACTAAATGATTAAATGTAAATTTTGATTTTTTTATAATATATTTGTAAATGTTGAAACTTACATCAACTACTATTAGATATCTAATTAACTACAATTAAATATTAAATAATGCTTTATACTAACTACTAACATAGTTGACTGATGTCAGCAAAGAAAAAAAACTTAATTGCTTTGCGACTGAAGAAAGAAAGAAAGAAAGACATGAACATCTTGGATGACATGGGGGTGAGTAATGACATCATTATAGTTTCAATGACATTATTTTCAATTGGAGATTAAGCACTTTTTGCCATTAATTGCAATACCGTATTGAAAATCCTCCTGTCCAGCTCATGTGTAATTAAAGGCAGCGCTGTGAAGTGTGTGAGGTCCGTGTGCTCACCTGTCTGTCGGTGAGTGTGTAGATGAACTGCAGGTCTGGGCTGAACAGTGTGTCCCGCAGCACCGGACTGCCCTCGCTCACCGGGACGCTCTCGTACAGCAGCGCCGGCCGGGACGGACTCACCGAATTAACCAGAATCTGACAAAACACAAGCCACAGCAAGACCATTAACATCTCATTAATATCCCATAACACCAGACCAAACGCTTTCATCATGTGAAAACACAGACATCATTACAGTAATGCTCTCAGAGCGTCAGCACAACAAACACTGCGAATATAATCATCTGTGTCTGCGAGCGGATGAGAGCGTTTCCATCCCTACATCGCACGAATACAAGAGGATTAGATACATTAGCCGCTCATTGAATCCTACAGTGAAGACAGATGCATTCATACAGGCTTACTGCTCCAGTCACACACAATCCACTTATAAACACACCTCGCTTCACATACTGACTGCAACTGATCTGAACGTCTTCACAAAGGTCAACGGAAATCACTGCTCTCCATGAAATGTCAAAGTATTTCCATTATTAATCATTATGATTCCTTCAAACTGCAAACTCAGTGCTAACGAACCATTTAGCACTCTTGACTTTTACAAGCAGAGACAGGAATGAAAGAACATTTAGCACAAAAAAAAACAAGAAATATAGACCACAAACTTTAAAGGGATCTGTAAGTATGTTGCTGTCCAACGCAGGAATGAACTGCATTTTTAAACAGAAAACAATTATTTTTAATTGTAGTAATCTTTCACACACTACTGTTAGATTTTTTTAAAAGAATGTTTTATTTTTAGTCAGCAACACACACATTCAATTCATTAAAAGTGACAGTAAAGACATTTCTGTTGTTACAAACTGATTTTTTATTTAAAATAAATTAACTTTCTATGCATCTTGAATCCTGAAAAATAAAATGTATCATGGTTTCCACAAAAATATGAAGCAGTACAGCTGTTTTCAACACTGATAATAATCAGAAATGTTTCTTGAGCAGCAAATCAGCATATTAGAATGATTTCTGAAGATCATGTGACACTGAAGACTGGAGTAATGATGCTGAAAATACAGCTTTGATCACAGAAATAAATTACATTTTAACAGATATTCACATAGAAAACAGCTGTTTTAAATTGTAATAATATTTCAAAATTTGTAATGTTTTTCCTGTATCTTTAATCAAACAAATGTAGCCTTGGTGAGCAGAAGAGACACCAATTAAAAACATTTTTAAAAACTCTCCCCGACCACAAACTTTTGAACCAGTACACAGCTCTCTGTGAAGAAGTCGTTATTCATTACAAACATCTCTAATATTTGTGATCTACAGAAGAAACACAGTCACACAGCTTTGGATCGACTCACGAGTGAATGATGACAGACTTTTCATTCAGATACAGTGAGCATATATGAGTGTATGAATGTAATGAGACCCGGGGGAAGTATATATTACGTATGTAAATATGATCTGGCGAGGGGAAGGGGGCTGTTCTTGCATGTTGAACACATCCATCACTTCTATTGCTCTCAATAAACATGCAGCATTAACTGACAGTGACGTGTTAATCGCTCTGCTGCGAACGCATGCTTCTGTGATATGAGGATAGAGTATCTGTAATGCACTGAGCCTGTTAATATAGCAACATTTCATCTCAAACCACATAAAATCACTTACACACACACTGAGCATACATGAATGAGCAATACACACATCCAATTGAGTTTTATTGCCATTACAGAGCCAATGCAAGGAAGATATTAAAATAAGCCGCCTGGGATCATGCTGCAACACACCAGTGTTATTTTAGTGTCTTTGAGATTCTATAGTAGTTTTTATTAATATTTTGAATCAGTTTTTATTTTTATATTTTCAGTTTTCATTTTAGTAACAGTTTAGGGTTTGTTCTTTAAATATGTCTATGTAGTTTAATTGTTTTTATTTTTAATTTTTCCATCTTCATTTTAATTTTAGTAAAAGATTTTGTATTTTTTTCTTTAAATACGTCTATATAGTTTATTTGAATTAGATTTTTTTAATTTTTCTATTTTCATTTTAGTAAAAGTTTTAGCATTTTTGTTGTTTTTATTCTTTAAATACATCTATACAGTTTTAGTATTTTTGTTGTTTTTCTTTAAATACCTCTATATAGTTTTTATTATTTTAGTAATACATGTTAATTATTAAATGTTTACTACAAGTTAAACTCAGAAATGCTACCTGGGCAACTACCTGAAATAAAATAAGTTTAAGGTTACTTAAGATTTGATTTTATTTCAGTTAAAGATGATTTTATTTCAAATAATGGAATTTTTTATGGTTTTAATTTTAGTTAACTATAATAACTGCAACACGCAACACAAGAAAATGACAATGACCTTGTTATTAAATACATACAATAAATACAATATCACCCAAACAATTCAAAATTATGATTTGATTAATAATTCAAGACTTCTTTAAAACAAAAAACATCAAGGCATCAAGTGCTGTTAGAAAACGTTGCCAAAATATCTAAACAATATTTGTTTTTTCATCTAGAAAATCTAACCTTGATCGAGATAAGATGATTTCAAACTTTGCTGAGAGACATGTTTCATATGTTTATATGCATAAGCGAGAATATCTGATGGTTTCCAGATGATGCTCACTTTCACAGACGTGACACTGACGGATCTGTGCTTGCCAGGACTACAGGAAGTCAAATAAACACACCAGTATCTGCTCTAGACGTGAATTCATGAGAGCACCACAGGCTTATTATGAACTAAAACCATTATGTAAAACCATACATTCTTGAAATAGAATGAACATTAACTGAAATAAAATATTTAAAATAACCTTATAATTCAGGTAGTTGCAAAAGAAAACATTTCTCATTTTAATTTAAGTTAAAGTACTAAAATTATATATATTTTTAAATATATTAAACTTAATAAGAACCTTATAGACATATACAAAATTAGGGG